GGCTACGTGTATTAATTTGTCTTGGGAAATGGTACAATTTCCCAGAACGCCACTTTGATCACTTTGTTGTGCAGGCTGTAGATCAGAGGGTTCAGAGTGGGAGTCACCAGCGTGTAGATAATGCTCACTGTTTTGTTTTTCTTCTCTAATGGAGTGCTAGTTGGCTGGGTATAGGTGTAGATGATGGTGGAGTAGAACAAGCCAACAATAGCAAGGTATGAGGAGCAGGTGGAGAAGGCTTTCCACTTCCCTGCAGAGCCCTGGATTTTCAGGATGGTGATGATGATGAGGCAATAGGAGAGGATGACCAGCAGGAAACTTCCCATGCCTAAGATGATGTCTGCCATGTAAACTGTGATTTCACTGAGAGAGGTTGAGCTGCAGGATATGGCAAGGACCGGGGATATCTCACACAAGAAATTTTGGACTAAACTTGGCCCACAGAAGACCAGCTGTGCCACAAGAAGGGTGTTTATAAGGGAATTGACGGTACCGATTCCCCAGACACCAGCCATTAAAGAGCTGCAGGTCCCCTTGCTCATCATGCTTACGCAGTGAAGGCAGCTTGGTGCTTTTTCTGGTATTGTTTCAATGGAAAGTGCTTGAAGTGGCATGTGGGCTGTGTAGTTGCCCAAGGATGCTGTTTTTTTTGTAATAATCTGTTGAATGTGCTGCATCTTGTCATGAGGATGGGATGGCGTGTTCAAGACCTGCTGGGATAGCACTGGAGACCTGGCCTGACCTCATCTGTGTGAGACTGAAAGAGTGATCCCTGGTGTGAACTCTCCCTAAAACCATGCGCAAATGTTGTCTAAAAAGGAATTAGTTGGCACCTTCCAAGGAGAGGTGGAAATGACCCTCCAGGCAGTATGAAGCGTGAGGGAACCACGTGATCTGAGGTGGAATTTGGCTGCATTTGACACGGTCACAGAACTTTATGTTTGTAGGCTACTAGAGGTCTTTCCACCAGACTGTCGCAAGCCACTAGTCCTCCATGACAGTCCCATGACCATGTCTGTTCTAATGGTGGGCCTGTAGATTGGAGAGTATTTGGAGCCTTGTTTGTTTCTAGTGCTGCTGCTTGGGCTTTGTATTTGAGCTCCGCACAAATCAGCAGGTGCACACTGAGACAGAAGGTAAAGATTTACAGTGGTATTTAGGCAGCTAAGGATGCAGAAACATGAGTAGCAGACTGTGAGGTCACCCAGGGTATCGAAGGCACATGGCACACCTCAGTGCTTCTAGGAACATGGCTGGCACCTCTCAAGACCTCCTGTTCCTGTAAAGGTCCCTGCACCTGAGCTCAGAGCTGGGAATCCTGACCCGACACTGTGCTATCAATGTACCGTAGTAGGTCAAAGCAGACTATCATACAGGCATTTTCTGATTTTGCGTACTATAAATACAGGAGAGTTTTCCTCTGGGCATGTGCTTGTGAGTGGAGCAAGGCTCCAGGTATTGGATCTCGCAAGGCCTTAGACTGAGGTCTGGATAATCTGTTGCCTTTTGGCTCACGCCCCTTCAAGCCAAGGGATGCCAACATGAACTTAAAGAAGAAATCCAGACCAAGGCTACTTAAATCAGTCCAGGCTTCCAAGGAAGGAAGGAGAAAATGAAGATACCTGCATTCCCATGTAGGTCACACAATAATATGGGAAAAGAAAGTCAGACTGACTGACAGCAGTCTTGAATACTAGTGCCACTTGGGAGTCGCAGAGGAAGCCACGGAGCTGATGGTGTGGCAGAGATACCATGAGGCATCTGACCCTTTCAAGAGCAGTGGCTGAAGGCCAGGTGGGTAATCCAATGCATCTCCAGTAGCACCGTGTCTCTCTGTTAAGGTAACCAAAGCAAATCCCAGTCAATAGTTATTGGAAAGAAAACAGAGCGTCAAATACAAACAAAATGTAGGTATCTGATCTAACGGTGATGAATGAACCTCAGCTGCACTGATTTTATCAACAAGATCTCCAGAGACTATGGAAAGAGCCTGGCCAAGCAGATCCCATGGAGATACTGGTATTGCAGACACCTAGGGTGGGACGTAGTCATCTCAGTCTAAGGAAATTGTAACAGGGAGCCTGGAGAGCATCCTCGTTCTAAACGCGTTACCTAGTCAGGTGGCTGAAGGGGGATGTGATGTGTCCTACCTAATGCTAAGAAATAAGCACAGAACACTCAGAACAGTTGAGAAAGTGAACATTTTGCTGCATGGACAGTTAGCGTTATCAGCGATGATCGCCTCAGTGTTCTTGTGTGATTTCGACCTTTGCAGCCACCTTAAGGGCAGCATCTGCCTAGACCTGCTTGACTTGCTTATTCCAAGAGGAGTGTACAAAAAGATTAAGAAGCTGGATGAAACACTACTTCTGAACAGTAGCTGGGTCTTAGCTCTTTCTGCTACTAAGTACAACACTGCTGAAAGTGTGCTTAACCACAGCTTTGCAGTGATAAAGGGAGGGATGTGAGACCCATTGTCAGAACTGGTGCCTTCCTGGGGCAACTGGTTCTTTCACAGAGAAGATGCAGGTGAGAAGCAGATTTTGCGTAAAATAGCAGCTCGGATCCACCATTTCCTTTTTCTTCCAGCCAGCCAGCCAACAAAAGCATCTTTTTCCTTTGCTGTCTTTGAATTTTTCTATCCCATCACCACCCTGCAAGGGCACATCCTGGCCCAGCCACATCCAGCTCAGATGCTCCAATATGAGAAAACCTCCACATTTCAGCCCTCAGGCATGTTACAGCTACAAAGCAAATGCTTCGTCTGAGGTTCAAGAGGACGTAAAGGAGAGAAAGGGTGTGAATAGGCTGGCTGGTGTCTTTACAGTACAGTTTATTTGGACTCCTGCTGCTCTACCCCACCACCCTCACACTGAAACCAGTCCTCCCATGCTTTGAACCTGTGGTCCCCCTGTTTTTCCTTCAGAAACCCCAGGCATCCAGGTTTTGCCTTTCCCCATCCATAGCTCTGATCTCTAGACTTTCCTGCCTTCACAGGTCTGTGGACACCTTCCGCGCCATTGTTGGGTGGGACTTGTGAACTGGGGCAAAGGGGAGGGCTGAGAAAGGCAATGGAGTAGAATGCAGTACCAGCTTGTGAATAGAAAAATTTGAAGAGAGGTTTTTCATAGCTATGGGAAGGGTGTGAGGCAAGTGCTGGCTCTGTGTTAGTGGCTAACATGGTCCGTTCTTCTCTGCTCAGGTCTTGTCACCCCTCACCTCACGCAAAGATGATGCTATGTAGCCTTCTGACAAAATGCAGGAAGCTCAGCAAGCTGAGAAGTGGGATGAGAAGAGTCATCTTTGTCTGGGGAATACAATCCCACTCTCCCACCCAAAGTCCCCACAGCCCCTGTGCTAGGAAGTGGATGGGCCTAGTGAATGCTAAAGTCCCTGCAGTGGATGTTCCTGTGGCCCCAGTGGCATAGCAGCCGTGGTGGGGAAGGAGGTCAAAGTGACCACTGCAGACTCTGTGGCAGGAGAACTCTGTGGCCATTAAGGCTGCTTTCCATGTTCCTGGTGAGGAGGGGGCGCTGACGCGTTGTCACCTATCTCACAGTGTATCCCGTAAAAGAGCCGTTTTTGTTTTTCTCGTTTCTTGTATCTTTATCCAGGCAGGTCGACTCTCTTGCTAATCTCTCCCTCCTCAACATTTGCATTGCCACTCTGCCGGATCTTTTTGGTTAAGGTGACTCACAGCTTCAGAACCTGTACGGAGACAGAGCACTTGTAGAAGAATACAGGAAAGCAGCCTGTGGAGGCCATGTTCACCTTCCACATGGTCATTGGTGCTGCTGACTACTCCTTTCCTGCTCACATGGCACACAGCTAAGACCGCATGTGAGAGCAGAAAGTGCTGGACCTAGAAAAGGATATTATGGAGTGGAATTTCAGTGGAAAGGGATGTTACGGGGTGTAAGAGCAAAGCCAGTGTGGTTCAGGACTGGATGGAAAACCTGGAGGGGGGGATGTGCAAGATTGTGGGCAGCCCTTGGTCCCTTCTGGCCATGTTATTTTTTCCTGTGGCAGGCCCAGGAATTGAGTGGCATTTGACCAGAAATACAGGTTGGTGCTTGGGATGACTGAGAGGAAGGCTTGAGAATTCCTATGATATAGTTGGACATCCTGTAGCCTCTTGTATTCATACCATTGCAATTTTGGATGTTACTTGATTCCAAATTATGGTAGAAGGGAGCCAAGTACTTGGGGTGCAACAGGAGGGCTTCAAAAGGTGGAGATATCTTCCTGCATCTAAGGTGGAGCCTCTGGAGCAGTTTCTGCCCTTGTAGAGTTGTCCTACTCAGATGATCCAATATGAGAAAATCTCCACATTTCAACCCTCAGGCATTTTACAGCTACAAAGCAAATGCTTTTTCTGAGGTTCAAGAGGATGGAAAGGAGGGAAAGGGTGTAAATAGGCTGGCTGGTGTTGAGTCTGTCTAAGGATCCTGAGACGGCTTCAAGCTGGTACTGGAAACCCACATGATCTCCCCTTGGATGCTGTGATGCTTCTGTTTCTGAAAGGCTGGGTAAATCATTTGGAAAGGTGGTTGTATCTACTTGCTGGCTTGACTGGAAGAAGCTGAAGGAGGGGAGGGACAGCATTTGCAGCCAGCAGGGATTGAGATCTACATCGCATGCCCTACCTACAATGGCAGGCTCAGGCTGTCCCAGAGAGTGTTATCTCCCCATTCTCACGCTCGGGTGTTTCATCCTGTTCCCAAGAAGGCTGCACACACAAGCAAGTTTGAATATGCTTTTATTGGTGGCCAGAAAGCAGAGCAGGAGGTAGCACTGTTGGGCAGCAGTGAGAGGAAGGGAATAATGTGAAACTGCATGTACTTGCGACCTGCGTTTTTACCTTGCCATTGAGACATTCCTTAACGCAGAAGCCTGTGCATATGCCATGAGGGCATCCCTGACTCCATTTCAGCTGCCTCGCTAAGCCTCTGAGCATGAGCAGGTATTTGATGCATTGTGGAAATGGGGCCCTGAGCATTTTAGTCAGAGGAAGGAGAGTCAGGTAGGTCTTGGAGTGCAAACTTCCTCAGCTCTTCACGTATCCAGGGCTCAAAATAGGAGACTCTGGTAAATACTTTAGGGAAGATGTTGTATTTGAGCCCATAAGAAACAATGCCGCGAGCCTTCCCATTGCAGACTAATGGGCCACCAGAATCACCCTGTGAGGTAAAAGGAGTGGGAGGGGTCAGACATGTCAGAGCACAGCTCCCCCAGCTCTAAGGAAAAAAGTGGCCTTCTTGCCTCCCTCCGTGTGAAGAACCTCCTCTTTTGACCATCTGCCTCCAGACCCAGCTCCGCAGGGCTTGTAGCTGCCTCACTACTCCTCTAAGCTGATCCGTGAAGCAATTCAGGCCTGGAGCCTGTCTGAGGTTCAGAAACTGCCTTCACAACCCTGAAAAGAAGAATCTACTCCTACTTTGGACATGTGGGACTATCCAAGCCATCCCACTGTGTCAGGAGGATATGACAGAGGATTTACATGAGATCTGGAGCCTGATGGAGCTGTGGCTAGGCTGGGTAAAATAGCCCCAGATACGTAAAAAGGCACATGATGCTGACAGCTGGGCAACTGCACCCCAGTTCAATCAACACATCAGGTTCAGAGCTCCTGAGAGGAGCCTCAGCACATCATCCTGAAGAATCTAGTTAATTTTAATCCCCTTCATCCCCCACCTGAGAACCAACCTGACCGTCTTGTCCCAACCTCATCCCAAGCTCGAAGCCCAAAACAACACTTACACGGTAAGTTGCTTTTTTGTTATCCTCATCACCAGCGCAGATCATAGACTGCTGCAGATAGTTCCTTTTCAAAGTCGTCTCACACACTTCCTTACTCTGCACCTTCAGGTCCACTTCCATCAGCACACTAGTCTTATCCTGTGTCATCGACGTCCAGCCCCAGCCAGCCACTGTGCACATAGCTCCCGGTTCCACATGCTTGTTGTGACTGGGCAAGGGGATACAACTCACTTGCTTAGTCAGCTTGGCCCTTGGCTTCAGCTGCCAAGCAGAGAGAACATAGGGTTAGGGCAGGCAAAGGAATGGGAACAAGTTCATGGGGTTGGGGAAGTGAGCAGGGGGAGATCCCTTGGGCAGCAAGGATGTGTGGGGGCATACCTTCAGCAGCACGATGTCATTTTCAAAGGTATCTCCTGAATAGCTGGGGTGGATGACCCAGTGGCCAATGTGGAATGCCTGCTGGCTCGGCTCTTTCTTACTTATGTTGTGGGCTCCCAGGGTCACAGTGATATTCACTTTCCTGCCAGGAAACACCAACATGTTCCAGCTGTACTGACCACAGCCACACGGCCCCCACGTCAGGTGGTTTGAGGGAGGTGGTGGTGGGGTATGCCTCCCTGGAGACTAGTTCTCCGCAAGTTGCCTTCTGTAGCCTGGGTTCCTTCCACAATTCAACCAAGGGTCCCTTACCCCAAGCTGACACAGGTCTGAGGTGTCCCATTCTGAAGACAAGAGGGAAACAGGGAATGGGAGACACCAGCCCCTCTTCTCCAACAGTAGCTCTGACCCATGGTAGGAATCATGGACCAGGAGACCGCTGCCGAAGAATCCTGTCCCAGGCACGCAGCCCCTGGCAAACAATTCCTGCAACTCACAGGGGATGGCTCGGCTCACAGAGAGCCCTGCTGTGCCTGAAGAGACTACAGAGTACTCTTTCACCCCAGACCAGGACTTGAAGAAAACCCACATACAAGAAAGACAGGGCCTTACGTTTTTCCAGCCACACAGTGAGCTGCTGAGAGCACTGCATCTGGGCGAAGTAGGAACCCTCCACAGTGAGGGCTATCTGACTTATTTCCAATTGATAAATAGGCCATGTAGGGCCTGGAGTGGGGCTTAGCTTCCCGTCCGCCAATGATCCTTCCTGGAAGAGAGATGAGAAGTGTTACTATCACATACGCCACTATTTCCCATCAAGTTTGGAGCTGCATGAGGAGAGAGGGTCATCCTCTGACATCATATGCCAATGATGCCAATAACTCTCCTTCCTTGGGCTGTCCAAAGCATTGCTTAAGCACAATGGAGAGAAAAACAAGCAACACTTCCTGGGGATGACTGACCATACCTGACTCTGGATGTCTGAAATGCTATCAAAGGGCACTATGCTAGTACCTGTAATGCATCACTGCTGTCAGGCACAGTCTGAGCTGAGAGAGATGAGTAGAGCAGAGAGTAGAGATATGAGAAAAGGCAAGGCAGGTACCAGACAGATTTCCTACCCAGTGCCCATTTCTGCCCTTGCATGTCCTCGTCTAAATCCTGTCTCTGTGTACTCACCAGCCCCAGACCCTGGAACAAGGAGAAAAGCACTTGCGAGCAGAAGGAGAAGCAGCATCTTCCACCACTGTCCTGAAGCGCCAAAACAGTTGTTATGGCCAGGCAGGAGACAGGTACAGAATGGCAATCTATATATACGAAGTTTGGAGCTGAAACAGGAAACCTCAGCCTGCTTTCAGCTTGTGTCGTTTGCTGCTTTTTTTCTTACAAAGCCCAGACTGTGGTTTGGTGAGGGGTTTGTGTCACAATCTCTGTTTTTTGTCACCATCTCCTCCAACAGCTGGAGAGATCGGGTCTTGTTCAGAGCACCCAGACTGCTCAGTACCCAGGCAGCAGTGAGAGGAGTGGGATATCTCCAGTTGAATGCACATCTCATTGGAGACCCTTGGCAAGAGCCTCCTTGGATCCTAGATATGGGTTGGGTTGTTTTGTTTCGGGTTTTTCTTTTTCTTTTTTTCCCTGTCCCCTGATAGGAACAGTGAGAGCTCAACAGGGCCAGGCAGAGGTCCTGATTCTTATCCGAGGGGCTGACTGCCATCAGAGGTACCCTCAAGGATATCAGAAATCACCTGTCAGAGTAGCTAAGGCACAGGACCCGCTGGAGACTCACAGCCTTGAGTACTAATGTTCTTATCACTAGTGAAAAATAT